GTGCAGGTCTTCTCCATCTTGGCCTCCAGTGCTGGGTTGCTGGCCTGCATCTTCATCCCCAAGTGCTACATCCTTGTGCTAAGGCAAGATCTGAACACAAAGGAACATTTGATGTTAAAATAAACATCCTTGTGGCTAGATAGGGGCTGGCGTTGGTTAATAGTCAGCGTGGGGTGGGGGGAGAATTGTTTATTAAGGAATTCATTTATACGCTTTCATCAGGAATACAGGCAGTCCCTGAGTTAAGAATTCTCAATTTATGGATGACCCATAGTTAAGAATGGAGCCTATTACAGCAAAATTTGAGTTAAATATACAATGGTTTGAGTTAATTATACAATACTGCTTATACAGTATTATACAATAATACTGTTCCGACTTACATACAAATTCAACTTAAGGTCAGACCTTGGGAACGGAACTCATTCTTAAACTGGGGACTCCCTGTGCAAGCTTCAGAATCGAATGCAGTAGTTGGAATACTCAAGGGAAAAGATGCAGGATATATAGAGTCCTTATTAACTTACAAAGTTTTTATTGGATACTGTTTGCTTAAGCCTTATACATACACCAAGCCATACTTTCACTCACTTTTCCCAGCTTCAGGCTGGCCACATTTATCAAGGGTCTGAAAGAGACGAGGTACCAATATCTCATGCCAACATGCATGGAGGATGAAGTTTCTCCAGATGAAGTCCAGCTGAAAAGCTTTCCTGTTTGTTCCTTGCCAGGAGGGTCCATCACACATTTCTTCCCATGTCCCCTCAGCCTCTCCTTGAGCTTATGTCAGCTGCTGGACGGCCGCTCTTAACTTTGGTGGCTTTTGTCCCAGACCTAGTCTGCTCCTGGTGGATGGTTTCCTTGGGACAGCTGCTTTCCTCGGGTTCAAATTCCATCCATTCATTTCTCCATATTTCAATTCTTGTAACATTTTCTTCCCCTTGATACCCATCTGGCTTTAGAACGAAAGGTGCATCTCATTCACAAATTAATTCACACTAATGTGTTCACTTTAGTAATGTTGATTTGTAGGAGTCTTGCATTGGTTTGCAGCAATCCTGTTAGCAATTATTTTGTCATCATAATTTTGGATGGTTTTAATTATTATCAGGATGATAATAAATACAATGAAATATACATCATTAAATCATCATATAATTCCATCAGTCCTCATTGATTTCAAGTAATTTCTGCATTTTACGTAGCATTCATAGCCTCCTCAACATGTTTAATAGCTTCTGGAGTAAAAACACAAGATTTTTGCTGTATCAGAACAAAAACACCTCCCTTTGGGGCTAATAGAAGACCTAAAGCCTATGGTTTTGTACAGACAGTTGTCACATGGGGAGTAACTTCTTATCTTGAGTACTGATATCCTTGACTATGTCAACCACAACCTCTTCCAAAACACATTTTTTTCTTTTTTTACTTCTTTATTCTGGCTGGTACTTTCTCCTCCATTCCCCGACTGTACTCCTGGCCTAGGAGGATCATCCTGCAATGCAATGAAGCTCTGTCCCTGTGTTTTATGATGCTTTTGGCTCCATGGGCTTCCTGGCTGCCATCTGCTTCTGGCTCCATGGGCTTCCTGGCTGCTTTCCTGGCAGGAACCTCCCTGGGGCCTTCAACAAAGCCAACTGACCACCTCATTCAGCATGCTGGTCTTCTGCAGCATCTGGGTGTTCTTCTTTCCCACCTGCCTGAGCACCAAGGGAAAGTCCATGGTGGCCATGCAGGCACTGAACTGAATCACCTGCCAGACTTCCATTAGGTGCTTGAGACAGACCATCTGAATCCTCCCCACTGTGAGAATTGTGAGTGGTGATCAGTTGCAACTGGATCAGGGTGTGATCTGACCGTAGCAATGGAGTGGCAGAAATCCTCTCCATTTCCAGATCATACTTCACCTACTCTGAGGCACAGAGGAGGTCTAACATACAGTATGATCATCATACAAGGGCCAGGATGAATGGAGTGGGCTGGGGAGCAAAAAATCGATGACAGTAATTCTCCCACAGTTCTTTAGACAATCTAGCCTCAAGCTTTGATCTTCTAATCGATCTATTGCCTTTTCCAAATCTGTCCCCTGGTCCAGGGCTTGGGATTAATAGGGCAGGATATAGATATTTGCAATTATTACATTCCTTATTCTGAATCAAATTATCAACCTGGAGGGGTCACAGTGCAGATTTATCTGAACTGCCTCCAGATTCCACCCTCTGTTGAGCATAAGAGCCAAATGCCTGCAAAAGCAGAAAGAATCAGTCATGATTTCCCTGCTGGGACAGCCCATGATCTGAATCCTGCCAAATCCTGAGATTCTCTCAATCTAACTTTCTGGGATCCAAGGGGAAGTCCATGATAGCCGTGCAGGTCTTCTCCATCTTGGCCTCCATTGATAGGCTCCTAGCCTACATACCCACTTATGTGTTAGTCACCTCCTGTCTAGATTATTGCAATGAATTCTACTGACTACTAGCAAACTCTAACACCACTAACTTCAGTAACTTATTTGTCCACTTATTTGTATTTTATTTCTGCATTAACTATTTTTATTTTATTTTTCTTTTCTTGTTTGTTTTCTTCTTTTTAAATTCTTTTAAAAATACAATAATTTAAAAAAAAGAACTTTGTCCACTTATTGATATTTTATTTTTTCATTATTTTTATTTTTTCTTTCTTATTTGCTTTCTTCTTCTTTTTCCTTCTTTTAAAAATACAATAATTTTTAAAAAGCACAAGGGTGTGTATGGATTCTTAAATTTAAGGCTTTGGGTGAGGAAATCCTCCAGGTTCACTCACACTTCAAAATTGTGGCTAATGTCAAGTTTAAGCAATAAATACATACTACATGGTTTACTTCCATCTTCACAAGCAAGGAAAAACTTTTTTTCCTCCAATATACAACAATACTTCTAAAAAATGAGAATAGCCACATAGGAGAACCTGACACCAAGTATTGATCAATATAATGAATAAAAGTCCTTGTTCTCAGGACAGTTGCTATGGTTTGGTAAGGTAAATCCATATTGATGTGAGACTGTTCACACTGATGCGAAAAATTTACACTGATAGTGGACTTTAGAAAGATGCTTTCCAAGAACTTTGGGGCCAATTGGCTCATCCTGAAACTTTGTAGCCCATCTGCGACTTTCCCCTGTGGGTATCTGCCTGTTGACTCATTCAGAGTTCAGAGAGGTGGTGTCTCTCCGCCTTACCATTATCCAAATCACAGTTATTTATTTGTAGTCTTGGTGCTAAATCTCTAGAGGCTTTCTGCAAACTTTCAGAAAATTTGGCGCAAACATATCAATTACATGCATTCACCTTGATATGACCCTAAAGCCTTGTGGGCTGATGTCATGGCACTGGAAAATCTTGGGTGCATAAATGGCTCTGGAGAAAGAGAGCCTGGGAAGGCTTTTAGGGCAGGCAGGGGCTGTGTTTACTCCCTATCGTTCAGGTATGAAACCTTGGCTGGTCTCTGTACAGATCAGGAAAGCCCTTGACGCTTCTGTCTTGGAAGAGGGCTTTGGTTTCTTCCACCTCTTCTTCTCATTCTTTGTTCGAAGCAGACGCAGGGCTGGAGGCTCCATCATGTTGCTGCTTGTGCTGCTTCGGTGGCCCCAGGGGGTCTGTGGGAAGCTCCAAGCCAAATGCCTCCTCACTCAGAAGAGGGATGAGTTTGACCCACAGAATTATTACAGGCCAGGGGAGCTTCTCATTGGTGGCCTAGTCTCTGCAACCAAGATTTTTTTTGAACCACTAAGCTTCAACACAACTCCTTTGACCCCAGTACACAGGTAAGTCCATCTTCCTGAACTGCATTTCAGACACTCCACACACTTTATGATTCATAAAGTTCCGGCCCTCCTCTATTTCCAGAAATTATCCCCTTGATCTGCTAGTTCTTCTCCATTTCTGTCCAGTTTCAGCCTTGGGTATCC